GGGGGTGAGTGCCCTCCCAGCACAGCTCACCCAGCAGCACTTTTACAACCTTGTCTTTCTTTCCCAGTTGCCACCCGAAGAAAAGGACTCTGCTGTGTCCTCTCTTGAGTTGTCTTTCCCTTTGCTCTCCCTCCAGTCCTGCAGTGAGTAACAGCCTTGCTGTGTGTGGTGCTGCTGCCCCTCCTTGCCTTGGAGTTGGTGCATCTTGTTCAGTGTGTTCTCAGCTCGGGGCACATTTTTGCCTCCATTCCCTTTTTAACTTGCAAGTTTCTCAGGAATCTTTTTTCTCTCTAATGGCCTGCTCTGACTAAAAGCCCATTTGCCTCCCTCTTCTCTTCATTTATATTTTTTTCTAACTCTAGTCCTTCTTAAAGTGCTTTTTGCATTTTCTTTGTTGCTTCAGGGGTGTGTGGCCCCCAATAACTGCAGCATGTCAGTGGAGAGTCTGGAGTGGTGCTGTTGCAGATGCAAAGTCTGTGCAAACTGACTGATGGTGACCCTCAGTCAGACCTGTGCATGTGGTAGAACAGGGATCTGAAGACACAGGGCAGCATTTTCTCAGTGGATAGTCCAGAGCTGTGCTTCTCAACCACTGCATGGTGTTTGAACTTGTTTGCTTGTTCCAGGATATGAATCCATAGTTAATTCAGTGGCTTCATTTCTTTCTTATGTTGGTACAAATCAAAGGAAAGGCTCTTGCTTTCATTCCTGGAGGAAATGATTTAATTTTCCAGTCTCTGAAGCCACCAGCATGAGGCATTTGGGGGTCCTCCACACCCCCTTAGCTGTAGGATCTTGCTTTGTTTTGTCTGCAGAGAATTTTCCTTTCTCTGACACGAAACAATCTGGAACTTCTTACTGTGAGGAGCATGGAACTTGGGAAGAATGTGAAATATTCATCCAAAGGCTGCAGTGTGTGGCTGGGCTTTACCTCTGGAGAGGGTTGATGGGGTACTTTCTAATCCCCCTGTGTGCTTCTGAGCTCAGACACCTTCCCAAGGCTTGCTGGTGCCCTGCAGGCTCAGCCCTGCTCCTCACTGGGGCTGCACGGCCCTGACAGGGCTGGAAATGGGCACAGCAGAAAATCCAACAGCAAAGGAAACACCCCTGGCCAGCTTCTCCTGAACCTGGGACAGGCTTGCTTCCTGTGACCTGGGAAGCACCTGGCAGGTTTTTGGGAGGCTGACTGAGGATGTCTCCAAGAGGCAGCTCCATGTGGGAGCACAGTTGTAGGTTAAAGCACACCTTTCCCAGCTGGAGTCTGATGAAAGCCCATCCTGGGAGCTCTCCAGGAGCTGTGTGAGATCAAACACCTTTGTGTGGGGTTACATTGTCTTAACCTTGTTTATCCTCGGGCTCGTTCGTGTGTCTGCATGGGAATGATCTGCATTTGTCTCTTGGATTTGAGGCAGAGGCACCTGTGATACTCCAACCCCCCAAGTTTCCCTGCATGGTGATGGATACAGATGGTGGTGTCCTGTCACCCTCCACTCTGAGCTTCATCCATGCACAGAACTGGTTGTGATGAGCCCTGAAACTGCAGCATCGAGGGAGTTACTCTTATTTCTTGTTCCACTGCTGTTGGCTGCATCTTTGCCATCGTGACCTCTCCTAAAACCAGCCTGGGGTTGTGCCCACACACCCGAGGAGTCACCAGGAACTGGGGCTGTAGTGGCAGAACATCTCTCTTGGTTTCTTTCTCCCCAGTGGCAGTGCTGGTTTCCCCCCCAGGAGTGGTGGTTCCCCCAGCAGAAGGTGTGTGAGGATGGCAGGAGGGAGGGGATGTTCCAGAGCAGTCCCTGCCCAGGCTGTCACCCACATCTCTCTGCCAAGGGCAGGAATGTGCCCCGTGCTGGGGCTCTGCCCGTGGAGTCTGTTCTGCAGCTGGTCTGCAGTGACTGGCACTGTTGTCTTTGCACAGGTCACAGGAACGAGAGTAATTATCCCAGTTTTCTCTCTTTACTCACTCTGGTCCCTGCTGGCTTCTCCCCATCTCAGCCAGGACTCCATGTGCAGGTGAAGCAGCTTTTCCCTTGGAAACTAAAGGGAATTCCCTGGGTGGCAGGACCCAAACTGCAGTTCATTGTCACAAGGGATTGGTTTTCCTTCCAGGTCTGGCTGTGGTTAAACTGCAGCTGCCCGTGTTTGTGCCCAGGGAAGGAGCAGGAGATCCCTCCCTGAGCTGCTGCTCCCATGCTGGAGCTGTGGGGAAGCAGAGCTGGAGCTGGGCTTGTTTGGCACTGCAGAGGCACGAGGTGTTCCTGGATTGGGCATCTGCTGTGGGTTCAGAAGAGCTTGCTTTAGCATGGGGGTTCTTTATAAGCATGTTGTGCTGAGGAGAGCAGCCCTCACTCCTGTGGAGAAGGAATTCCTGCTGATTGACACAGATGGATTTCACTGGGAATTCTCTAACCTTTCCTTTGCTCCTTGTTGAAGGTGAAGTTCACACCACTTAACGAAACTGTTCCTTTACTTCATCTCTTACTCCTACAGGTACAAGATGCAGCACACCCCAGAAACCAGGGAATGAACTGCTGGGCCTCAAGATAGGCTGAGGCACTTGGTTTTTGTTACTTTACTCCTTTCCCATCTCTCCTGACACCTTCTTGTTTTTGTTGGACTTCTCAGCCTCACTCAGAAGGGATTAAAGTTCCTTTTAATTGTGCACTGAGGGCTGCAGTGGCCCTGAAGCAGCACCAGCAGCACCAGCAGTGCAGGAAGCACTGCTCAGCACCAGCAGTGCAGGAAGCAGGGAAGGAGATCTCGTGAGACAAGTAACAAAATCAGACAAAGAACCACTGACAGCCTAAAGCTTTGCTTAAAACCAGCTGGGCCCGGGGGCCAGGAGGGAAGGTGAACCTGTAGGGAGAAGAGCATGTTTGTTCTCATGATTTCTGTGTGGTTCAGAAGTGTGGCTGAGCTCAGCAGGCAGCTCCAGTGCTGCCCAGGGGCAGTGCCACGGTGCCACAGGGACAGTCTGTGCTGTGAGACAGGGGACACTGCTGGCAGGGGAGGGGGGACACTGCCAGGAGCAGGACACTTGGAAATGGGATGAGGAAGGAATGAGTGCTGGCTGTGTGGGTTTGAAGATGCAGGTTGGTGCAGTGCCCTGGGAGGAGCTGGGCACTGACAGCCTTGGGCAGAGTCTGCTCTGAGCTGGGCTGTTCCCGTCCCTTGTCCCCAGGGCTCCCTCCCGGGTTGTTTTCCCACCACACCTCGACCATTCCACCCTTCTTGGCCCCCCTTGGAGCATTAACACCTCCCTGTTGCCAAGACCCTGTTCCCCAGCCTCTCCCCTCATCCCAGGGAAAAGCCCCTGTTGGTGCCACAGAAGCCAGGGATGGTTCCTCTGCACTGGGAGGGACTTTGGCAAATGCACCTTGTGAAATGGAGTGTTCCTCACAGAGCTGGGAGGGGTTCAGACACATTAAGGCTGCTGTTCCCATCAGGCTTTTCCTTTCAGCTGACCTTTTTCAGGCCTTTAATGATCCAACAACTGCCTCTTGGGCTGATTTTTAGGTTTCCCTCCCCTCCTGGTTGCTTTAGTGTGTTGGCTTGTGAAGGTTTTCATGGGGAGTAGAAATTGTCCTGCTTTGAATAAGCAGTTCCAAAGCCTCCAGGTTATTTTATTATTTCTGTAGGGCAATAAAAACCATGGTTATTATTACCATATCTATAATGGTGCAACTTCAGCTTTCCTTTGGTGTTCTCAGCATGGTAAGTCTTTTATAGAGCAGGATTCCTGTGCTTTTCTGCAGTTGTGAGCATGTTTTCTTTGGATAATAAATAATTACACCAGCCTTTGAACTCAAAAATTAAAATATACATGTAACAGTTTTGTAACTTTCTAATGTTAGATTATAAATGGGAGTAATTTCAACAAGTTGAAATGGCCAGATTTGTCCATGTGGAGCAAATGTTATCAGAGCTGTTCTACTGCAGGTGATTACTTCTAGTAAGTCCTGACATTGTTCTTTATCCTCTTGTTCTGTGCAGCACCCCTTGTGAAAGCTGAGTAATTAATCTGGTTATTGCAAACCTGGTTAGTGATTGGGAAATCACTCATCCACCAGATGAATAATTGAGATTAACTTCTCGCCCAGGTGATCTGAGTGTCTCTGTGTGAGGGTTAATGGGAACCTCAGGAGTTGTGCTGCTGAGAGTGTCTGATTTAAATCTGAGAGTGAAGTGACTGCCTGGTGACTGGGCAGCTCTGTGACCCCAGGGCAGGTGCTGAGGGCTGCAGCTGGAGAGGCTCCATCTCTGGTTTTGCTCCAGCTCTGAAGGGCTCTGAGGTTCCCTTCCTGAGCAGAGCTGTGGCTCTCACACCTGAGCTGGTCAGCTCTGCTGTTTCTCCTCATTAGATGAAGACTAACAAAGGAATCCCCAGCACAGGAAGGGGAGAGGGGGGGAAATTGTTTAAATTTGGGCTTCAGTGGGTCATGTTAAGGTTCTGGGTGTGAGGTTAAGCTCCTTGGGGAGAGCAGCACCCAGAGGGGGAGGATGTTCTCACCTACCTTAGGTGACCTGGGCACTGGAGAGCAGCTGCTCTCTGTGTGTCTCATACTGGGGGACAAACGTTTTAGCAGGGCCTGTTGTGAAAGGATGAGAGATGATGGTGTTAAACTGAAGGATGGTTGATTTTGATTAGATAAAAGAGAGAATTTTTTTACAATGAGAGTGGGGAGGCCCTGGCACAGGGTGCCCAGAGAAGCTGTGGCTGCCCCATCCCTGGAAGTGTCCCAGGCCAGGTTGGAGCACTCTGGGCTAGTGGAAGGTGTCCCTGCCCATGGCAGGGGGTGGACTGGATGAGCTTTCAGGTCCCTCCCAGCCCATCCCAGGATCCTGTGCTGGAGCCATTTGCACCCAGTGTGGTGCAGATGCTCCTGAGGCTGCCGTGAGCCCTGGACTGAGCACCTCATTAATGTTGTCTTTTCTTTTTCTGTTTTTTTGCTTTTTCTCTCTGTTGCCTCCCTTCCTCCTTTTCCTGCTTAACCCAGAAAAACTGATTGAGGGACTCAAATCTCCTGAGCCTGCACTCCTGCTCCCCGACCTGCTGCCCCTCGCTGACCCCTTCGGCAGCACGGCCGACGCTGGCAATGGTAACCACACACCCAGGGCCCCCCCTGTCCTGTCCTGTCCTGTCCTGCATGGTCACTCCACAGGCACCCCCCAGCTCCCAAACCAGCCCCTGCTGCTGGTGAAACACGTGCAGGAACTTGTGGGTTGTGCTGAGACACATCTGCCTTTTCTCCCTGAGGTGGACACCTGAGGAGTGAAGGTTTGGTGTCTGTGTCTGGGGTCCAGGGGTGCTGATCTGGCACAGCAACGTGGCACAGCTGGGCCTGGTGTGTTCTCTTGGTGGAAGAAAGTTAATTGTTGATTGAAGGGGAAGATGCCAAAAATCCCTCCCCTTCTGGTCAAGACTTTGTGTTCAAGCACAGCCCAGGCACTGAGCTGGTCTGTCTCTCCATGGACCCTCAGCAGCAGGAGGAGGAAGGACAGCATTCCCTAGACCTGGGGAATGCTGGGAATAATATACTAGGCTGCTGTGAGCCTGGATGCAGGAGGCATCAGGCAGGACTAAGATTCTGGAGTGTTGCAGAATCCTATTTTGATCTACTTGCCAAATCATTGCAGGCTCAGTGGCTGCCATCAGCTGATGGTGTGGGTTGGGGTCCCAGCCGGGGTCCCTTGGCCAGCTGGGTGCAACCTGTGGCTTGGAATGGAGAGGAAGGAAATGAGTCACTGTAACAGTAAAACTTCTGCTCCCTTTTGCAATTTTTGGCAGTTGTCTGAATGCTCTTAGATAATGATCCTGCAAATCACAGACACACACACTGCTGTGAAAACAGAAATGGTCATTAATCTCAGTTAGGCACCATTTGGGTGCATCCTTGTCCTTTAATTTAACGTGGTCATTGCCTTGCTGTTGGTCCCTGAGGAGGAGACCCAGACAGTCACTGCCTGTGGCTGCTGTGGCAGGTCCCTGCCATGGCTCTCCCCTCCCTCTGTGGTTTCTATAAACCAAATCTTTGCATCCAGCCTTTGTAAACGTCTCCTGTTGTCTCCACATGATGGGTGAGATGGATACTGGGGATTGGGGCTTCCAGTGAGATGTCAAAAGTTCCAAAACTTTGTCACCTCCCTGTTGGCTCTGCAATCCTTGCTCCATTGGCCCCTTAAATGGGAACAAAATCCCACATCTTGGCTTTTTACAGGCTTGACTGGGACTGTGCTAAGGGCTCCAAAGCAGGTATTTTAATGTCCTGTTACTCCTGTTGCAAGGGGACTCTGTCATGGTCAGGGTTTTCCTTTTCCTGGACAAGGATCTTGTGGATATTTGCCCAGCCCCAGGTCTCCTGCTTGGCTGCAGGGCAGGTGTTATTAACCTGCTGTTCCACGCTCTGGGTGTTTCAAATTGGGCTTGCATAAATTAAAACAAATAAATAAACTCAAATAAAGACTCACCCCCAGCAAACACTGATGAGTTACAGTCTTCCCTCGTGATTAAATTAACGTTGGACTCCAGCCTCCTGTGCTGACACAAATTACAGGGTCACTAAGGGCTTCAGACAGCTGCTGCCTCAGCTCCTACTTCTGCCTGTCCTTGCAAACTAACCTCTGGCTTCTCCCCTGCTGTGCCCCCTGGAAAGGCAAACCCGACGTGGCCGTGGAGAGCCTGATCCCGGGGCTGGAGGCGCCGCTGCCCCAGCGCCTCGTGTCCCAGAGCGAGTCGGTCGCCTCCACCAGAACAGGTTGGTGGGGCAGGGTGGGCTGGGCCAGGGGGGTCTGGCAGCCAGGGAGCACTGGCTGTGCCCATGGAAGTGTCTCCCTCTCACTGCTGTGCCTGCCTGTGTCCCCTGAGGGGTTCTGGGTGGTTCCTCCAAGGTCTGTGTCACTGTCCTGCCTGGGAGGAATGGTTGGATCTCAGGGAAAGGTTCTTCCCCCAGAGGGTGGTGGGGCACTGAACAGGCTCCCCAGGGTTTGGGCACAGCACCAAGGCTGCCAGAGCTCCAGGAGGGTTTGGACAGTGCCCTCAGGCACAAGGTGGGATTGTTGGGGTGTCTGTACATGGCCAGGAGTTGGACTTGATGATCCTTGTGGGTTCCATCCCGCTCAGGACGTTCCATGGCTCCGTGGTACATATTCCCTGGGCCCCCATCACAGACCTGTAGGTGCTGGAGCATCACTCCCACGAGGTGCTTTAGGACTGATTGCTGTCCCAGGGAGGATGGCCACAGCCAGTTCCTGGCCCTCTCTCACCACCCAGGCCTTGATCAGGCCACTCTTCACAGCAGATGGACTTGAGCTCTTCTCAGAGGTCTCTGAAAACAGGCAGTTTGTGTCTGGTTTGCAGCTCTCCCCTCCCTGCACAGCCCCCCCTTTAACCTGTCCCTGTGGGACTTCCTTGTCTGTTCAGCTTCAGAGGGCAGGGCATCCCAGGGGAGGTGGGAAATGTTTCTGGAGGTGTTGGGCCCCTCTGCCCTCACTGAAGGGAATGTTTCCATCACAAGAAATGGCTTGGATTGAAACTCTGCTCTAAGTGTGTGTGAATGGGAATGTGGGAATATGAGCCTAACACTCTTTGTGTCCTGTTCAATGCTTCCTTGGGATGCTCACCTGGATCCAGACTCTCTCACTGGGGAAGACTCTTTGCTTGACTGTTCTCTGCTCTCTAACCCTGCTGCTGATCTCCTGGATGAGTTTGCTCCTGTAGCTTTTGCAGCTCAGCCTCACAAAGGTAAAGTGGCTCCTTGCTCTGCCCTGAGCTCTCCTGCTGTGTGGGCTGGAGCTGATGTGAAGCAAAGCTTGTACTGGTTTGCACAGGCAGGGACTGGTTTACACAGGCAGATGCTCTGACCCACGTTCTGGTGGTGTTTTCTTTTCTTTTCCCCAAGCCATTGTTTTGTTTTCTTCCCAAACTTAGAATGTACACTGAAGTACTAAGGGAAAAAACATAAAGTGTTCAGCTTGACTCCATGGCTGGAGCAGGGCACAGGAATGCTGTGAGGAGCTGTCAGCTGCAGTGGGTGTGCACAGAACCTTCTCCTGCTCTGGCCCATCCCTGTCCTGGGCTGGAGCAGCTCTGAGTAGGGCCTGTGTCCCCTGGGGCAGTGACAGGGGCTGGGGGCTGACTCACCTGAGCCAGGCTTGCAGGGAATATTGGATAATACCCATGTGGGAAGGAAGGCCTGGACTTCTGGGCTATTTATTGCCTTGAAAAGAGAGGCCCAGAGCAGCAGTGCTGATTTCTGGATGCCCCTTGGTGCTGGGTTGTGCTCAGCTCCTTTGGTGAGTATCCCTATAGCAACAGAAAGGATCTGTCCTCGGAGGAATTGCTGTGAAAACAGTCTGTAATCAATTTTTACACTTGATGGCACTTCAGAATGAGTTTGTGTGTTCCACAGAGCTTTTGGGTTAAACAAGCAGTTGTTCTAATTGCTCAGTGCTGTAATACACTTCTGGGCCACTTTATTTTGTGTAAATGGCTTGAGCTGTGTGTGGAGCAGTTCCTGCTCCCTCCTGGAACACAGCAAAGCCCAAATGTTGTTGGTGTGGCTTAATGAGAAAATGAATTAACAGGCTCCTGTGGGGCCCTCCCAGGCTGCCCTGCTGTTCCCTGTGGGATGGGAAAGGATCATGTTTGATGAGAACACGAGGCTCTGTTAGCACAGGAGAGGGGGTGGGGGGCAAGTTATTAAAATAATTTCCAGAACTAATTTATGGCTTGTTTTCAACCCCTGATTCTCTAGCTCTGGGTGTGCTTATTAACTGTGCTTCAGTCTCAGTCCTTGATTTGTTTATCCAGTCCTGGTGGGGATGATGTGAAACCCCCCTGGGGCAGGAGCTGCTGTCCCTGGGCACCATCAGCCTGTGGAGCTGCAGCTCTGCCTGTTCCCAGAGTGGGACCAGGAGGGCTGGAAGAGCAGCCCTGCTCTGAGCAGGGTCTGGTGCTCCAGCCATTCCACAGGATCCTTCCTTTGTCCATCACTGGGCTGTTTGTTGGCCTTGGAATTTGTGCTCAGCCTTCAGGGTCCCTAAATTTGCCTTTGCTGGTTCAGCCCTGAGCTCTGTGTGTGAGAAGGGAGGGTTTCTCTCCTGCTGGTGACACGGGGCACTGAGCTGAGCTCCAGTGCTTTTGGAGGGGTTGTACCCAAGCAGGGACACTCCCCAGCCTTCCCCTCTCCTCAGGATAGTGCAGAGCTGAGCTGTGCTCCTTCAGCACCTCGTGCAGCACCTCTGGGGCTGGGAGCAGCTGTGGGTGTCAGTGCCCTGGCAATGGGATGCTTGCAGAGGCTCCTGGGTAGGTTGGGAAGAGCCACAAACAAATCTCTCCAGGGACAGAGTGATGACAAGATGAGACTTCCTGCTAAGATGAAGCACCTTTGTGTGTTTGACTCTTGGCACTGCTCTCCTGGAACATTTTAAGGAAGGGCTGGACGTGGCACTCAGTGCCATGCTCTGGTTAGGATGTGGTGTTCAGTCGTAGTTTGGAATTGATGATCTCAGAGGTCTTTTCCAGCCTAACTGAATCTGTGATTTGGGGTTTGTCCTTCCTGGCTGTCGTAGTTTGAGACCCCCAGAGCACAGTGATCCTCTGATCCTCCAGAGCACAGTGTAGTTCCACAAGTGGTTTCTTGCATTAGCCAACCCCAAACCTGTTAACATCTTTGTCAGCTCTGGGTAAAGAGCTTTTTTTCCCCAATAGGAGTCCAACAGGAATGTTCCTGTTCCCAGAACTGCTTGAGGGGCCTTTAAAAAACTCTCCCTTGGTATCTGGTTACATTTTCAGGTGTGTAAACTCCTTGGAAATCTGACTTCATGTTCACTTGCTGCTTTAGTGCCATGGGTGAACGCTCATGGGTTTGTCTCAGAGATGATGGGAATTTCTTCTCTGTGTTCTTTTTTTCCCAGCCCTTTTCCTCTCCCTGTGCCTGAGAGCCAGACTGTGCTCTCAGACCATGCCAATGGCAAAGAACACCTTCAGTCCTTGGGAGTTTAACCCCAGGCCTCTGCCACAGCTCTGAACTCTCCAACTGAGCCTTCAGACTGGCCAGATTTTATTCTGGCTCTTGTGACTTGGCTTGCTTCGTTTGGTTTGGTTTTATCCCCTCTACTTCTGTATTTAATTGGTTCTCCACCTTCTTACCCAGACTTAACCAACTTTATTTCACCTTTTAAATGAAACTCCTGCTTCTAAACCCTGTCTCTGAAAACACAGAGATGTTCTAACCCTTCCTGGCAATTCTAACCAGCCTCTCTGCTGTCTTTGCTTCTTTACTCTCTTTCTCTTCTATGCTGCAGAAGATACTAACCTGATATCAGGCTTTGATGCTCCTGAGGGCTCTGAAAAAGTGACAGAAGATGAGTTTGACCCAATTCCAGTGTTGATATCCAAAAATTCACAAGGTAAGCCAGGATGTGGGGGTGAAAAAGGGAAGGAGAAAAGGAAAACAGTGAACATATAAATTAGTTCTGGGGCAGTGGTGCTGCAGCAGGTGTGACTAGTCCAAACCCTAAAGTGTAGATACATCAGTGTGGTATTTAGGGAGCTTAGTCTGTCTCTGAGATACACTGGCCTTGAAATTTCTGTAGGTTCTATGTTTGGGGGAGGATTCCATGTCCAAAAAGATAAGAAGTGCAAGGATTTCAGATCCCATGAGGTCATTTCTCCCAACCTGCCAGGGGAGCACAGACACCTGTGGCTGAAGTGCTGGGAGAACTCTGCTCTCCCTCGTTCCCATTTGCTGTCCAAGCCAATAAAGGAGATCCTGTGGCTTTTGAATGAGCTTGGCACGAGGAACAACAAACGGGGATGATGATGATGATAATGATCCTTTATAAGCCCAAAACTCCTGCTGAAACTGAGGCTTTTTCAAAGGTGCTTGTGGGAGCTGAGTGTGAGGTTTGGTTGATGGCTCCCACCTCCTTTGAAGGGCTCTGAGCAGGAGAGTCCGTGGCACTTCAGACCCTGGTGTCCCCTCAGTTGAGGAGCTCTTGGCCCTTCCAGCCTCACACAGGGGAGGAGCAGCAGCACTTTTGGCTTAAAGCCACACCAGTGCTGTGTTTGTAGCTCTTCAGGGACAGAATCAGGCAGTGTTTCTCAGCCTGCTCAGTGAAGTGGGTCCTGTCTCTGCAGTCACACTGCTGAAAAGTTTTGATTACAGCTTCTGATGTACTGGTGGAGGTTTAAAGACAACTCTAGGGCTCTTTTTTTTTTTCCCTCAGTTTGATCACAGAACTTTTTGGCTTCCCTAGCTCCCACTTCTGGTCCCAGCAGGAATGTGCTGTGCCCCTGCTCTGCACCAGTGTTGGCTTTCAAAGACTCATTAGACATAGTTCAGACATTACAAACCCTGCTCCTGCTGGAAGTCAGAGTAGATTTCTCCCAAATCTGGGCCAGGATAGGCTGCCTTGAGTACAGAGAAGCATCTTGAGGGGTTGGAACCAGATGGTCTTTAAGGTCCCTTCCAACCCAACCTGTTCTGGGATCCTTTCCTTAAGTGTCAGGTCCCAGTTACAGAAAGCCCCGTGAGAGCTCAGCTCTCCTGGAAGCAGCTGCAAACCAAAGATGCTCTTAAAATAGCAACTAAATTTCAAGATTTAAAACTCTGAACTGTCTTTAGGTTGTGGGAGTCCTTGTAATTGCTTTAGTGACCCTTTAGTAAGGACAGGATTCTGCAGCCTGGATAAACCTCGGGGAAGGAGCTGGTGTTTGTAGGGATTTGTTGGCTGCTGTGCTGGTTGGTTTGGGGGGAGAGGGTGGAAGAGCAAGGAGGGGCTGTTGTTGCTGTTGTGATAGTAATGAGAAGAGCTTGAGCAAATTTTCTGTTTTGCTTTGACTTTTTTCTTTCTTGCTTGATCTTGAACTTCTGAAACTGTCGTGTGTGTGTGTCCTGTTCAATACTGAATTCCTATCTCTCACACTTTCAGGTGGGCATTCTAGAAACAACAGTGGAAGCTCTGAGTCCAGTCTTCCCAACATAGCCAGGTCTTTACTGCTGGTGGATCAGCTCATAGACCTGTAGCAGTGGCACAGTAGCAGCTGCAGTTTCTGTCCCGTTCCCAACCCTCCGTCCCGTTGCCAGAAGAGTTTCCTCCCGTTGTGCTTCTTTGGGGCTTTGCTCTTTTTTTTTTTTTCTTAATTAAAAGAAAAATCTGCCAACAGGAGACAGTCACCCACCTTTCTCGTGTCTTCCCATGGCCTGGGAAGGATTCTGTCTCAGTTCTCCAGGCAGCCTGTCCTCCCTAAAGCTCTGAACGCCTGCTCTGGTTCCTCTGCTCCTCCCCGTAGCCCGTGTGCAGGGAGCACCGTGGGGAGCAGGGAACAGCAGCTGCTCTGGGACCCTGCCTGCAAGAGCCTCTCCCTGCCCAGAGCAGGGGGGCACAGTGTGGGTCAACCTCTGCTTTGTGCTTTTGGGTCTGGGCTTGTCCCTGTTTTCCCTGGATGGGCAGGAGGAAGGGGCCGGGGGACAGTGGTGGGGACGTCCCTCACCTGCAGGATCCTGGGGTGTCCCTCACCTGCAGGATCCAGGTCAGGAGAGCTCATGGCTCTGAATTGGCTTCAGAGGAGGAGGAAGCCCCGAGTTCCTCTGAAACAGCCCAGCCCATACTCTGGTGATGGTGCAGATGAAGAGTTTTCCAGCTGCCCCCAGCCCATAGTTTGCTGTTTAACAATCCTGCTCGGGAATGAACTGCACTTCCTGGGGGAGGGAAAACCAGGAAAAAGGAAAAAAAGAGAAAAGAAAAAAAGGAAAAAAACCAGATTGCTAAAGCTGCAGACATGACCCTAGGTGAAACGTAACAAGGTTTTGAACCAAATCCATGTGAGTATGGCTGTGACTGGCATTTTGTTGACCTTTTTTTTGGGTGAAAAGGGCACTGTGGCAGCAGCAGATGTATTTTCTGTGACTTCTGTGTTTGACTGGAAAGAAAAAAATCCCCCCGACCTGCTGTAAATTGTGTATGAAACAAATTGTCCCACGGTCGTTTTGTCCGTTTTCAATCCCGGGTTTGGTCCAGCCTCTGGTATCTGTTCTGGGCTCCCCTTTCTCTCGTGACTCTGTGGTGCACCCGGTTCAGTACAGACCCATTGTTTCAGTAGCAGAGGTTCCTGTGGGCCCTTCTCCCCCGGTCTCTGTGCACACGCATGCACTCGGTTCAGGTGGTTTGAAATCAGTGCTGCTACAGCTCGATGGGGTTTCCCTTTTCTTTTCCCTCCACGTGCTTAGTTGGTCAACTTTGCTGGATACGCTCACCTCGTTTTCCTTGGCTTATCCCGAAGTGCGGAATTTCTATCTTGTATTTGAGAGCTCTCTCTGCCCAGAAGGACTGTCCCTCCCTCTGTAGTGGACTCTCCCAGCTTCCTGCTCTCCCCGTGTCTGTGTTTGTAGCTGTATTAGTAACAGTGCAGTTCCCACGTGCGAAAGTTCGAGCGACTGAATGTCTGTGCTGACCTCGCTGAGAAGGGAAGAGACCCAAGTTTGTGACTCCTCCTTTTCCTCTCTCCATCCCCCCAACACTCCGTTTAACCAGTTCTGTACATAGATCTCCCATCGGTTGTGTCTCTACATTACTCTTCTTTTAAAACCTACACTTAATAATAAAAGTATTGCTTAAGTGTGTTGTATCATTACATGTGTATACTGCACTTTCCAAGAGAAGCTTTACATGAGAACTATGGAAATGACCTTAGTAAAATTGTGGATAGAACTTTATTATTTTTTTGTTTTATATTCCTAAAGCACAGGCAAGCTGGACTGGAAAACATGAAGACGCTATAGATAGAAAGTTATTGTATAGTCAGATACTGAGATTATATGAAAAGAGAATGGATTTTAAAAAGTAACCATCTACTGTATATTAGAAACAAAGATTTCTGTGAATTAAAGTACTTTTAAAGAATGTTTAAGATTTTAAATCTAATGGCGCTTGTTCAAGGGTTCTGGAAAAAAATGACAAATGCACTGGGTTGTTAATAATGCTATTAAATAAGCAGATGTGAATGTTTATTTTATTGCTTTTTCAAGTAGCTGTTCGTGGGTGTGGGTGGAAATATGATGTTTTAGAGATGTCTGTTCTTAGACCTCCTTCATCAGCAAATCCTCGCCACATGTTTGCAGAGCGAATGGGAGATGAGAGATGAGATGAGATGAGATGAGTGGAGATTGGGGATTCATTTTAAACTCCAGAAACTGTGACTGTCCTACAGGCACTGGCTGGTGTTGGTGCTGCTCAGGGCTGGGGAGTTGGAGTGGAAGCTGCTGCTGGGGGGGACAGACTGAACCTCCCCCTGTGTCCCTGTGGGACACACCTGGTACCTGGTGCTGCCCAGGTGGTGTAAGAGTGAGGCTGTTGGAGCTTGGTTGGAGCCTTGGTTGAAGCTGAGGGAGATGTTTCTGTCCCCTTTGAAGGGCTGTGGGGTCAGGAGGTGTTTAGTAACATGGCACAAACCTACAGTCAGTGAAATCCCAGCAGAATGTTCTCTCTGCCTGGTGCTGTTCCTGTGTGTTGGGGTGACAGAGGGCTCTGGGGCTTGCAGTGGTGGCATTGACTGTTCTGGTGGATCCTCCTGGCAGGGAACTGCAAACACAACCACAGGACATGGAGCCATTTCCCCTCCCGTCAAGGCTGTGCTGTGGGTGCAAGAACAAATTGGGTTTGGGTGGGAAATGTTCAGAGAGTAGCTGGAATTTGGATATTGGTTCTTGGTTGTTTGGGGGGGACGTGGGCTGAGAAGTGCCCCTGCCTTTGGAAACCTTCTGGTTCACCTTTCAACCAGATGGGCACAAGTGTCACCCCACAGTTCAGAGATCAGCCAATTGTGTTGTTTCTGACAATACCCACAGTGCTGGGAGCATCCATCCCAAACCAGAAGGTGCAGCTCCCTGGGTTTGGACTGTCTAAGTCTTCCTGGGGTCCCGTGGGCCCTCCTTGGCCGGGGCTGTGGGTGCTGTGTGAGCAGCTGGGGCAGTCTGGGCTGGGGGGACAATCTTGGCACCGTTGGCTTTGTGGCAAACCTGCATCCTCCCCCAGCCCACTCACCACAGGTGAAGGGCAGCTTGAGCCAATCTGTGCAGAGCAAAGTTATTTTTAGTGGGGGCTTCTTGCAAAGGAACAAGGAAGGTGTTCTTTGGCCTGAAAGCTTGCAGGGTGTTCCCTCCAGTGCCTGTCCAAAAACACCTGCTTTGAAAATTGATTTTTTTTTTTTTACATTTGTTATTACAGTGAAAGTTCAGGTGTGATTCAGAGCAGAGGCAGAGTTCAGCAGCTTTTGGGGTATCCAAGCAAAGGTGAAATGTGGAGCTTGTGGAAGGGTAACTACAGGAAATGCCATTGGGTGTCCCATGTGCTGCAGCTGCAGCAGCTGAAGTGGGGCCATGTGGAGGTTCAGCCCAACTTTTCTAGTTCAGGAGCTCCCCTGGGAATCAGTTGGAGCTGGGGAGCAGCTGCTGTGGGGGAGGCAGGGCTGGGACATGGGCAGTGCTCTGGTGACTGAGGCTGATGCTCAGCTCGGTCATGGCAGTCGGGTGAGGTGGGTTCCCTGTCTCTGTGCTGTGTGTGTGCACTGCCCACTCAGCTGCTGCCCTCCAGCAGGAAACAGACCCGGGGGGGAATTAAAAAAGGGTTTCTTGTATTTATTTGTTGCTCCTGTGCAGTCCCTGTCTGTGCTGGGAGGAGCCCTGGTCCGTGCTCCACGTGCAGCTCTGGATCCTGCTGTTCCCAGGAGGAAGGGTGGGCTGCTCCAGGGCCATCCCTGCTGTGGGACTCATGCTCCTGCCTGGCACGGGAGGGACATTCACCCCATGGAACTCGCCTTGTGTTTTCCTTAGCGGGTCATTGGCTGTACCTTAAAGAGGACTCGTGTCCATAACTCCTGGTTTGGGCACAGCCCAGTGAGGGGGGAACACAAGGATGCTCTTGGTGTTCAGGGTGTTAGTTTGGGAACTGCTGGAATGTGGGGTTTGGGATTGGTTTAGCTCCTGCCTGGTCTCACTGTCATGGTGCAGGTGGCTGTACGTGAGTGCCCAAACTAGGGCATAAAATTCCTTCTCTTGTGGAGCTGCAGGCCCTGGCTCTGCCTCCAGGTCTCCCCCTGTGCAGTGGCTTTGGGCAGAAACACCTGGTTCTGTCTGCACTGGGCAGTGACACAGGTGACACCGACCTCTGGTGCCCTGCTGTGGCACCTCCTTCGTGGAACTGCTGCCTGGGGGTGGTTCTGTATTGCCTTTAAGGAGATTGCTTCTAGGAATTGGGATGCAAGAACAAAGGAAGGAGAAGTTTTTTGACCCTTTTTAAGTGCCAAACTGCTAATCCTGCACACTGGTAATTCTGCTGATCTTTAGCTGCAGTTACTGCTGAGACCTTCCTGACTTGGGCTTGAAATCAGGAGAGTTTTCTGTGTCCCCTGACTTTGTTTTGGACTCTGCTCCAGAAGTGAGGTCCTCATCACTGTGGTGACTGCTCTGCCTTAGGGAGTAAATATTTTCTAATTTTGCTTTTGGTTATTCAGTACTCTCCCACTTCAAGGCACTGTTTTCCTTGGAAGCTGGGGAAAGTCCAGGTGTCAGGGCTGTAACCTGGGGTAAATGGCCTTTTCTTCAGGTTGCTGTCTGGATACACAAAGGGTGTATTTCTGGAGTACTGAGTGATAAGTGATTTTATTTTTAAGGTTCTCCCTGTGGAAAGAGAGCTTGAGTATAGTTTGGAATTTTCTTTAGTACCTATATCTGACCCTGGAATAAAATATTCTACACCAGTGTTGTACAGGGGCAAGGAGAAACCTCATCTGTAAGCTCCAGCTTCTGTAAAGATTTGCTGCTGTAAAGCTTGTGGCTGTTTGCAGTGTGCAGTCCTTAAACCTGAGCACTAAGGAAAACCTGAGGGATGCTTCCCCATGGAGGAACACCCAGAGCTCGGGAGTCTGGAGGAGGAGGGGACAGACAAGGAGCTTCCCAGTGAAGGAGCCTGTCTCAGGGTAGGCAGATGTTGCCTCTGCCCAAGGGACATCTCTGCATGAGGGGTTGTGGTGCTTTGTGTGTTGGCCCAAGAGATCCAGGGCTGGTTCTTTTCAGGCCCCTTGTACAGCGTGAACAGGGCCCGGTCCCCATGGAGGAGGGACAGGGCTCCAAACCAGAAGGCACTGCCTTAGTCTGATGAGATTTAGACTTGGATTCACTCTTGCTGTCACCAGGTCGTGCAGTGACCCCTTCTGTCCTGCCCTGTAACACAGAACAAGTGTCTGTTTTGGCCATCCAGGCCTTTCCATGGGGAGCTGTCCCTGGGCCACCTCAGCCCTCCTGATCTGTGATCTCAGCCCTGCTGGAGCATCCAGAATTCCCTGTTGTCCTGAGAGTCAGGGACAGGAACCTTTGGAATGATGGTCTGCAAGACCCATAGTTGTGGCTGCTTATGGGAAGCACAGGCCTGGTCTTGTTACCTCTGCCCTGCCCTTCCCACAGCAGGGTTGGGTTTGATGGTGATCTCAGAGCCAGCATTAGCTCAGAGCCTTTTTTACCAGATGGCATCAGCAGCTGTGGGAGGTGTCTGAGCCACGCACACAGATGTTTGCTGAGGTAAAAAACTGGTGTGATGATGTCTTCCTTGTTGTAGGGATGCTGCTATAGCTCCCTCTGGGACCATTCCTTTGCTTTCTGCCAAAGGAAATGCTGAGGGAACCAAGGAATGTGGGAAGGAAGCTGCTGAGATGGGTTACAGTGGGAGGGGTCTGGAAGCACTGGGTCTCCCTTGTTCAGGATCAGAGACACAGACCCTGGCGGTGCAGTTGGTGCTCCGGTCCTGTCAGTGAATTCCCAAACTCTCAGGTAACACTTTACCACCTCTGTGCCCATTGTTGTTGTGGTCAAATTACCAGGGCCCTTCCCTTGTGGTGTTGCCTGGCAGCTCTGACTGAAACGGCTCCTGCTGAGGCATCACTTAGGTTTTATCTCCCAGAGTAACTCACAGCTCCTGCACTGGCCTTGGCAAGGGAGAAAACAGCCTCTGGGCATTCAGTGCCCTTCTCTCTTAGGATGGGCAGAGAGAGCATTGGAAAAAGCCATTTTTCCTGAACTAGAGCATTCTGCCTCTCATCCGGTGCCTCCCGTTCAGAGATGAGCTGCTCCTGCCCCGAGCAGGGCTGAGATCCTGCCACCCCTCTCTGACTCTGTCCCACACGTCCTGGCTCACGTGGGCACAGGCAGCTGCTGACACACGTGACCAGGTAGGGAACACTGACCAAAGGGTGTGTTTGTGCTGTTCTTGTGCAGAGCGGGCCTTGGTTTGCACTGGCATCATGTTCTCTATGGTAAATGCCTTTTTCCCTTGGTTCCTTAATCTGTAGTTCATGGGGAATTCGGAGGCATTTGTGTGATGTGGCAGCTGCTCTTGCTTTGCCTCAGCCTGTGTGCCCAGAATGTGCCAGTGACACCTGGGCAGTGTGTACCCACCTCCACCGGGGCCGTGTGTTCCTGTGATCCAAGAGTGGCATCTCAGGGGAAACCAGTACAACAACAGAGGCTGCAGGAAAGACAGAGGGTGTTTTTGTAGAGCAGCTGGTCAAATGTTCACATATCTGCACTGTCTTTATTTAGCAGTGTCATGTATCCAAGTGAAGAGTTTCCCAATAAATACCGGTTCTGATGCCTAATGAACGCCTGCTGTGTCTTTCATTGTGAGAGGTGATGGAGAAGGGGGTGACCTGTGTGTGTCCATGGAGCAGTGCCCTGATGGGTGTGCAAACATGAACTACTGACCTGGGCAGAGCTTCCCCTGGGTGAGGAGGCTGCTCTGGCACAGCAGGGTGTGTGGGTTAGTGCCCCGCTGTCCGTGGGCACCAACCAGCCTCCTCACCCTCCTCGTTCTTCCTGCAATTCCTACTGCTTAGTTTTCATGTGATTTTTTCCTGTCCTCTTGCTAACATGAGTCCAAAGACACACTCCCAACCTGCCAGTAGTTCTGTGAAGGTAAGAGATCTTCTGTTCTGTCTGTGTGAGTCGTGAGGCAAAACCAACCCTGGAGAAGGGCAGGGCAGCCTCTCCCTGCACTGTCTTGTTATCAAATCCAGAAACAAGCCAGGTCATTGTAGTTGTGATCCTTGATTTAAAGTCAGGGTATGGATGTTTAAAAATGGTTTCTCTGGCAGTAGTTTAAAATGATGCTGCTGCAGTTACCAGGATTCACTAAAAGCTGTAGGCTGACCTTCAGTCTTTGAAAGGGCCATGTTATTTTAGCAGATTGAGGGGCATCCCTGTGTATTTTCCAAGCCTGAGTGTAATTCCACGTATCCGTGGGCTGGCTCACAGGAACAGAGGCTGTGCCAAGCGCTGGCTGTGCTCAGAGGGCAGCAGGCAGTGACAGAACGTGTCTGTCTGCTGGAGCTTCACTCTGGGAGCAGCGTTGGGATGTGAACCCTCTGCCGTGGTGTCGTCGTCGCAGGTGGGAGGGAGAGAGACCTGTGGGGTGGTGCTGAGAGTGCTGCGTGTGCCCCCTGCGTGTGTCAGACATCCTCCACCTCTGAGCTGTGGTGCCTGTGTGTCCCCAGGCTGGGTTAGTTGTGTGTCAGCTCGTGTGTCGTAAACACCTTCCCTGGCATTTTTAGTTCCATTGGTTTCCCTCCCTCTCCCGTCCATTTTCCATGCGTGGTGGTGGTTTCCATCTGAACAGTGTGATGTTCTTGTGTCGTAAATACCTCTCATGCTGACTGATAACCAGGGGCATGGAGCTGGTTGAGTAACACTCTTCTCTTGTGTTTGTAGGTCTGCAGAGGGATCCAGGCGTGTTCCCAGCTGTAGCTCTTGAGCTCTGTAAAGGAGATTCTGGCAGTGACGGACTCGCTTTGTACAAGGGTCAGTCCAAGATGCTGGAGGTGAAAGTGCAGCACAACTCGGAGTCGGAATATTTAGCCAGAGATGGTCCTTCAAGCAACAGCTCCTTCTACAGCAGTGAAGGAGAGGGGACAGACCATGAGGGAGATATTCTGGATTGCAGCGGATCCAGGCCTTTACTGATGGATTCGGAAGAGGAAGAGGAGACGTGCAAGCTGTGCCCAGGGTTCCTGCAGCCCGTGCCCAGGGAGAGGCACGAGGCCTCCAAGGGAGATCCCCACTCCCAGTCCAGAGCAGGGGAGATGCTGTTCCCAGCCTTCCAGTCACACACCGGGGAGGCTTTTAATGAACCGGATGTTTTTGCCACGGCTCCTTTCCGAAGCTCCAGGAAAGTGCTGGATGAGGGGGATGTCTTTACCAAAGCTCCTTTTCTCTCCAAGGGCAACGCGGCTCTGCGACATCCAGAAGAAGCAGATGTGTTTCTGAGAGCCCCTTTCACTAAGAAGAAAAGCATGGAAGAGTTGACTTCCCATAAGGAGCTGTTCCCAGCACCCGTTTTCCTAAGCCAGGGGGGCGATGGCCGAGCTCTCCCGCTGTTCCCCAGCCTGGAGTCGGCGGCGCACGGGGCCGCGGCCTCGGCGAGGTCTCAGTATCCTCCTGCCGGGTTCCCTCAGCCAGGCAGCCTCCACCCCTGCTCCGGGAGAGCCGTGGAGGCCCAGGAGAGCGTCCCTGCTAAGGGAGGGCTGCCGGAGCAGGGGGACGTGGCCAGGGAGAGGAGCCAAGGCCACGCGCTGCCCCCGGACGCCGCGCTGGGCTCCGCGGGGAACCAGCCTTTCCGTCCACAATCCCTGGCCAAGTATTCCCGGCACTACAGCCCCGAGGACGGGCCAGGCCTCGAGGCCAAGCCCATAGCTGCTTACAAAGTGGTGTCTCAGACCAACAGGCAGGCCATAGCGGGCTCTGTCTCTGTGGTCCCGCTGTCCTCCAGGACTACGGAGCTGCCTGGCGCGGATCCCTTCGCCTCCGCACCCTTCCCTTCCAAAGCAGGGAAGCAGAAGCCTTAACGTGCTGGGGGTTGGGGCTGTGCTTCCTGCAGGACACCTGGCACAGCCCCTCGGACCTCTGCGTTGAAATGAACGACATAGCAATATATATATATAAAATAATTATTATTTTTGGTCGGAACTCTCTTTGCAGTGATAGGTAGTGGAACCGTTCTAAGTTATGTCAGTCCCAATGCCTGGCTCTCAGGATCCTCAGAGCCTTTCTCACCTTCCTCCTCTCACTGTCTTCCCCCCATTTATTTTTTTAGATGCTTTTCCAAACTAGTAGTATTCCATATTTTCTGGTCCTGGCTAGAGAAATGCATTATAAGATGAATTAAAAGGTTTATTAATTACAGAGCAAGTCAAGCAGGACTTGCTAATGCTCTGGAAAGGACACGATTTCACAGGTTAAAGGCTTATTGTGACTTCTTTGCTGTCAGTGCTGTTCCTGCTGCTCAGCAGCGGTGTGGCCATGGCAGCTGTGGCTCTGGGTGGGTGTTGGGGGGTGATGTGCCCACCCAGGCAGACCCTGCAGTGCTCTCTGGGGCTGCTCTGTGCAGGGTGTCCCTGGGGTGGGACACGTGGCAGTGCTGCCCGGGCTGGGGCCACGCCAGTCGGGGAAGGACTCACAGTGCCTTCAGTCTTGGGAACTCCAGTGAGGCAATCAGGCTGTTCCTGCTGCTGGAAAATCCAATTATTGTGCAAACAATCAGGCAAAGCTTTCACTTTTACACATGTATTTCCTGTCTGGTCTATGCCAAAGTGTAGGACCCGGAAATCTGCTCTTGGTGAAGGAGAGGTGTATTTACAGTATTAAAAATAGACCTTTGGGGGAAATTTATGATGCAAACAGCTCCATAGCTGTGCTGATGTACCTCACGTGGTGTGACTTGGCCCTGTTAGACGGGTTTGTACTGGCAGAGCTCGACTCAGAGTAAATTCTGCCTTTTGTTTTCCTTTTGATTAAGGATGAACTTAAACAAAACCATTCCCCCTCCTTCAGAAGTATTATGTTTTCTATCCCAGTCCCAAAGAGAAGGACAAGTACTTACTGTGTCAGAGTGTTCAGAGGCAGAATCCCCCGGGCAGGCACTGGGCAGGCCCAGAGCAGACTGTGCTCCCTGCTCTGCTCCCTCGTGGAGGACAGAGAGGAGAATGGAACCTCCCATTATTATTTTGCAAAATGCCTGGTTGCAGAAGTTGCCCTGGATCTGCTGTTTGTGGCCTGCAGAGGTGCTTGTGAGAGTGGACTGGCTCTCAAAGACCTGGTTATCAGGGCTCTGTGGGATCCCAGTCCAAGCTCCCAGTCCAAGCTGGAGCCTTGTGCTGAGGGTAAAGGACATACTTTGTGTTTGGGGGTCTCCCACGAGTGGGTTTGTGGTCTTTGGACGTTTGCAGGGGAATTGTTGGAGCCGTGGGTTGGTCTCTGAGGTCAGGACTGGCTGTGTGCAGAGCAGGTTCCTCCCTGTCCACTTGCTGACGTGTTTGTACTCAGAGAGCAAGTCCTGTGAGTAGTGTCCCTCGAGTAGTGGCCCTTGGAGAGAGGAAGGATCAGCTGTAGCTCCTCCTGACTCACTGGAGTCAGACCATGGGGAGCTGCTGCAGCCGAAAATAGGCTTTGGTGTAGTTTGGAGAGGAAAAAACCCTGAGACCACCTCCAGCACACGGCTCTGTCCGGGGTCCAAATAATAAGTGTTATAGGAACACAGGGGGCACAGAAAAGATGTGTGTGAAGGCTGCAAAAAAGAGGACATTGCACAGCCTGGGGCAGACTCGCTGCTCACCTTTCATCCCAGCCACACAGCAGGAGGATGGAGAGATGGATGGAAAATCCCTGAGTGCTGGGAGGGGACTGCAAAGCATCTGCAAGTGGGAGTCACCGACTGCTCGGTGTTTGTTCCCTTTCCCCTCCCTGAATTTGAATCCCCTCCAAAATATCTCCAGTTGCAAGAGATGAGCCAGGTGTTCTGCTGGACGTGGGGGTTGCCTGGAAGGGAGAGGGAAATGCTTGGGCTGAGGTCTGAGAGCCTGGGCTGGGGAGGGAGAATACTGGAAAGCAGGCAGGCCACATGGGCTTGCACAAGTTCCTGGTGAACAGTGACCTGCTGAGCCCAGGTCAGCTGGAGCTTCTGGAGCTGGGAACCTTCTGCCCTGCTCTGCTGCACTCACAGCTAATAAATATTGGTGCATAGTGGTGGTTTAGGGGCTTTCTGTCCTCCATCACCACCTCTTGAAAACAGAAGTACTGTAAAGAAGTTTCTGGGTTTCCCTTGAGATGTTTATTCAGCAAAGCTGAGGCTGTTTATTATGTTTTGTTGTTTAGTTTTCTGTTTAAATATACACCCAAAAGGTGGTTGGTTTTGTTTTTTGTTTTAAATCTCTGTATCCCCAAGTTGGTTGTTGCTGGATGGGATCAGTGAGAGGCCCCGAGAGCGACTGTGACAGCAAACTGTGAATTCAGGGAGGGGAGCGTGAGGGCCCAGATTTGTCCCAACACCAACCTGTGTCGCAGCCACACTGAGCCAGGAGGCTGCACTTGGCCTCGAGCTCTTAAATTCACTCAGAAGCTGCTGGAAGGGAGGCCAGGCCTTGGCAGTGTGGGATGAACCTGCGGGACAGGGAGATGCTTTGCTGAACCCCAGGCGGGTTCAGGGTGTTCCCTCTGCTCACTGCATTCAGGTTCTTCCTGCCCTTCATTTTTACTTGAAATATTGCTTTTGGATAATTCTGTGAAGCTTCTGTCCTTGCCAGGTCCAGGTGCCACGGAGCTGGTGCTGGAGGAGTATTAGCCTGTCCCCTCCGTGCTCAGACAAAGGGAAGGTGCACCGGGGTGTCTGGGCTCATTTCCAGCCCTGTTAGGTTGGGTCAGGCTGAATTTCCAGCTGGCATTTTGGCAGCTTTTTTGTCCTTCAAGCACTTTACACAAATTGCAGGCTGACTGTGCCCCAGAGCTCACAATCCTGCCAGACACATCCAGTGCTTAAATGGTTTTAAATCTCTTCTGGGGGTGGAGGCAGCTTGTTTGTATCTCTGCATGTGGCTCATAAAGTAATGGGCCTTTTGGTTATGGTCATAAGACTCAATTTCAGGGCCTGTTACTCTGAAATCCTTCTCATTTCCAGCCTGTGTTCCTCCTAATCCTGCACTGCCACTGCTGCAGCCTCAGCGTGATGAGTTATAAGTGGAAATTTCATTTCTGTAGTCTCTGAAGCTTGTTGTTGTAATGTTAAAACAGGGAAGAATCATGCTAATTATTTGCCACACAACCAGTGATCCTAATGAAGTAAGACTAGTACAGCCTCAATGCAGTGTTTTGAAACCAGTTTTCTGAAGAGGACCAGTGGTTTCATCTCTTTAGTAAAGCTGTAGTAAATTCTGTTCACTGCCCTGGGCCCTCGTGCACGGACGGAGGGTTTCGCAGGGATCGCTGCGACAATCTGGGATTCCTGCTGGGAGAGGGAGTGGTTCTTGGTTCTCACCCACTGAATGCACCTCAAGTCTCTTCTCAAAGTGATTAATCAGAGTTTCTGTGTGAATAGAGCAAGCAGTTGGCTTGGCTCTGTGCTCACTGCCATGACGTTGGTACAGCGCTGTGGGGGGACCTGGACCCGTGTCCTGCCCGGCTCTGCAGGATTTCGGGGGCTTTCCCCGTGTCTCCTCTCCCTCCAGCCAGCTCGGCATCGTCACACCTGGTGTTAAGTTTACAGTTCAGCCTCCTGAAGCCAGCACACAGCCAGCCTGGGGTGCACACTCTGCCTGGAGCACAGAGGTGATGCTGAGCTCCGAGCCCTGTGAGCATCGGGACACATCGGGAGTGCGTCCTCGGTGGGACGGCAGCAAACTGGGCGGGATCTGCTCAGCTGCTGAACTGTCAGTCACTCCAAAGTGGCAATCGGTTACTTTAACTCAGCTTCCACCAAAGACTCTTCTGTTGGGGAGTTGAATTTTTGTTGGTTTTTTGTTTGTTTGTTTGTTTTCCTCGTGGTGTTAAATCAAGGCCTTTCAGCACACCGACAGACTCCAAAGCATTTTTACAGTAGTGTCCTGACAGTGAAATCTTGGTCCAGTTGGGAAACATTCCTGAAGCCTGATCACAGCTGCATTAGTGTTTCTAAAAACAAGCCACGGTCTGTAGTTTCCATTGTAGGTGGGTAAATACCCTCACACGCACCTGGAAATGCTCCCTGTGAGGCTGGAGGGATAATGTTGATCCAGTGTTCCTGATCCCTCCCAGGGATGGGGTGGGAGGGCAGGGGGCTCACTCGGGTGCAGGGTGCAGTGGGTAGAGCACCTCACCCAGTCCAGGAGCGAAGGAAGCTCCCTTGTTTCCATGTGGAGCGGGAAGGGGAGCTGGGAGTGTCCGTGGGCCCCTGACTGTGACACACAACCTGACTCGTGTCCCACGAGCAGAGTTTCCCCTCTCTGGGCTGTCCCTGAGCGGCCGTGGAGCCACCTCAGCCTGGCACATCAGTGGGGCCAAGTTTTGCACTCCAGGTGGGATCATCTGTTTCTGGTAATCATGAAGAAATGTTTGACTTGTAAACTTCTGTACATTTTATTAAAACACTATCTGATGACACTACATTGTCTCCTCTGTGCGTTCCTTCTCCCCTCCCCTTGCAAAGTATTTTTGCTGGATACAGAGAACCTGGGTTTTAATGATTTTTTTCTACCAAGATGCTGAACTGGGTCTGGCCCTGCTGTTTTATCTGGCAGCTGTAAAGTCAAACTGATCTTGTTGCTTTAAGCAGTGAATATTCCACTTTATATCCAATTTTTATATCCAGAGAGAGTCCTTCCCATCCAGGGCAGAGCTGCAGCTGCAAACAGCACAGAGCAACTGAGCTCTCCCTGCAGAGCTGCTGCTCCTCAGTGGGTTCAATGCTGGTGCATCTGGACATCCAGGGCTCGGGAGATGTCGAGTCTCTGAGTGCTGGTGATGTGTGGTTTTTCTAGATCATTCAGCTGCCAAGACTTACAAGGGGCTTTGGTAGTGCTGTGCAGAGCGGACTTTGCTTAATTTAATTTCCATCTTGGTAGACGTGTCCATTGGGAGAGACACTTTGCTGCCTTCTGTCCTGCTGCAGCTGCTGCTGGTAACACCCAGGTAACAGCAGAGCCTGGGAAGGCTGAAAGTGAAGCTTTTTCATTCTCAGAGCTGCCATATTTTCTTTTTTTAATTTTCTCCCCTCTTGAACATGCATCCATGGACACACATTAATGGCATTCTCCATTAATGTTATCTGTAATTTAGTGTTCCCCTGAAAAAGCCACCTTTGAGGTTGATTTGATGAACGTTCATTTTGGGTAGCCTGTAATGCTCAGGAAAGAAAATAAATACAAGTAGCTGTGAAATTTGCACCCCAGAGCAATGGAGCCCTCCCTGCAAAGCCTGGAGCTGCTG